TTTAGTTTTTGGTGAATGGTAACTCTCAAGATATTGTTAATGGGGCATTCAGCACTGGTAATGTTATTGAATGTTGAATGTCAAGGAGACTTCATTAAATATTCTCTAATTTTGTTGGAGATTATCTTGCCTGGCATGAATCTCACTTGCTGAATATTTTATTGGCAATTGTTTGGTGATATCTGATTTTATTTAATTGATAGTCTTCATATCCATTTACTTCTTGCTTATATATAGGTTTACCTTTTCAATTGTAAAGAGTTAATTTCTTTGTAATGCAAATGGAAATGAGGTGATTTTGAAACATTTTCTGTATTATCAATGTGGAACAAAGTGAGACAAAGGATTGGTTTCCTTCTTTTGAACATTATATGAATTCCATTGACATTCCCACTTCCAAAGTCAAAATTTATCAGGATGTCAACATAACATTCTGAACACTGCCTAATGTTCACTGACAGGCCAAGTTCATTCTTAAGCAAGAAAGAATGCAATGGAGAAACAAATACAGCTTTATTATCCTCACCTGCAAAACATTCTGATTATAGTCAACAGTTAATAAATTGTAGCTTTGAAGAAAAGCTTTCATACGTCTACTCCCCTTTGTCTGCAGGTCATCACAGACCACTTCACAACTGTGGTAACAGTCAATACCAACATACCAAGATACACAACAGCAAGTCACGTCACCAAGATTTCTTCAACAGCATCTTCCAAAATGTGACCTCCCTTGCCTAGGCACATAAGAACTTGGTTTAAAAAAAATAGACTCAATATTGTGTTTGCCAATATAATAATTGCTGCACTCCAGATGTAATTTATTTTTAAATTTGTTGATGTGCTGACCATATCACCTGCAATTCCCCTCTAAGTCACTCGGCATCCTGATTTCAAAATATATTGGCTTTTCTTCAATGTTAAAGGATCAAATTCTTAGAACTCCCTCTTTAACAGTATTGTAGTGTACGAACATCACACAGACTGTAGAGTTCAAGCAGGTGATGACTCACCATCACCTTCTCAAGGACCATTAAGAATGGACAATAAAGGTTAGCATTGGATGCTCCCAGGCAGTCATCATTTGAAGTGCAGTCATCATTTTTCAAGCAAACATAGCAGTTAATCTCTGCACGTAGGCCTGATTTTTCAAGAAAGATCTGACAAAACTTAAGAGAATCTGCACTGAATGACCATATTTTCATTTGGGGACTAGTGGTATGAAAATATTATGTCGCCATCTTTTAGTTGGAGTTGGGATCCTGAGCTCGAATATTGAACGTGTTATTAATGACTTCATCACATGGTTGAGAACATCAGAACAACGAAGTCCAGAACTTCCTACAGTTCATCCTCTTGCCTTCAAAAATAATCCATTGGTGAAAATGTTTCTTTTGTTTTGGAAAGTCAAACTCTGCAGAGGAATGTGTTTTTTTTCCCTTTTCCTGAAGAGTAAGTGAGAGGGTTGTGTGTGTACGTCTGGGAATATTTCCAGGGATAAGCATTCATAATTCTACATCACTGACTATGTACGTCAATCAATTATTTCATCCTTATTGAATAAGGTTTGTATTGATAATAAACCAGCAATTGTGTTTATTAGGAAACCTGGCTGAAGGTCTGTTTTGCGTAAAATGTGACATTGACCAGAAATTTAATTGGTCATCATGATAATTAGAAGAAGTATTTTTACTTTTTCTTTTGACCTGTGGAGTGTGGGACTTCATTGAAAGCACTCCTCAAGCCTTGGTCATAAAAATCGAGCCATAACATCTTTTATATCCATCTGAATCAGGTTGATCAACTTTCAGTCAAACATTTCTGTTCAAAGATGGCATTTCAATGCAGCACTCACTGAATATTCTGCTGAAGCGTCAATTTAAATTACGTGCAGATGTCTTGGAATTTCAGACAGATGAAAGTTGAGCTAACAAGAATACAATAACATCCTTGTATTGTGATAGCATTACAATCATCATTCTCCTCTAATCATAAGAAAATCTTCCTCCCTCCCTGTTACACAGTATATAGTAGAAGGTGACATAGGTAAATGGGCCAAATAGCCCTTTTCTGTGTTCTATAATACCAGATAGTATAAACATCATACAAAGCCTTATATAGCATCTTCCACATCTGATAAATTTTTTGAAGGGGAAACCAATAAGTTAAATCATGTTGTAAGATAAAAATATCTAGTATGATTACTAACTATTTCGATGTTGTGATAAGTTGATATGTAATACATGGAAAACTTCTTTGTAACTGTCATGTGCCTGTTATTTATCTGTTTTCTTCTCTCCACTGGTGAATCCTATATCACTGCTAAAGAAAAGGAATTAAAAACCATGTTTGTTTCCATAACACTAACTAGTGAACCCAACTGAGCAAATTTTTGACCACCATTCCGTGCTGACACCTTTGTCAATTATAAAGCAATTAACATATGTCTTTCAAAGTGAACAAGTATACTTCAGTGTGTGGTCCTGAGACCAGCAGAGTTCATTGCCACCCCTCTTAAAATTTCTTTTAAAAGTAAGTGGCCATATTCAACTCCTACCAAGTGCTTGACAGAAAAGTTGAAAGCATAGGTATTGACAAATTGTGCACATGCAGAACATACAAAGAACATTTTCAAAGTCTTCTTCCAAAGTTTGGTGCAACCTTGAATTGTCAGACAAAGTTCAAACCCCACTTCATACACATACAATAGCTCAAAAACATCAATAGTTATCAAATAAGAGTAAAGGAGAGAAATGATGTCGCTCTCAAACTGAACTGTATTTTCTTTGATACTTTGGCTTTAGCTGCCTCTCTGATGGTTGTTTGCCCTATAAATACTTTCTAATCAACCTGCTCAGAGATAGCGTTACATACCTTTGGAGCAGGTGGGACTTGAACCCAGGCCTCCGGGCTCAGAGTTAGGGACAATACGACTGCACCTTATGGCCCTTTTGCTTGCTTTGTAGACATTTTCAAAACAACCTATTCAGAGAAGTTACTATGCACCTCTAAAGGAGGTGGGATGTCAATGTTTTGACTTGGCTCTTGGCTAAGAGTTAGGGATACTACCATTGTGTAACAAACGATCCCACGTTGTTTGCCTTCCAATGCATTATGGCATATGATTTGTACCTATGTGCTATATGAATCCTGAGCCATTATTGTCACCACATACATTAAACACTAATAGAAAGTCACAACATTGTCACTTTTCTGCAATGATATTAGCTGGAAAGTTTTGGATTTGGTAAATGTGCATTTGCTACAGGTTAACACTTTATGTTTATAAATAAATGAATTAAAACTGAATGTAAAACAAAATTACCATCTTAAACTGAACTTCATACTGCTTTGTACTTACAACTTACGTTCTTCAACAAGTCACTAAGCTCATCCCATTCATTATTGGACCCTAATCTTTGACATTAAATATAGATCTTTTAATGCAGTATGAATCAATTAGTCACTGGTAGTAACCAACACTGGTATTTCATACATTTATCAGAAGAGTTTGATAAGGGAAGCAAACAATGGGAATAGTTCTGGTCACCATGCTACCAGAAGGATGTAATGGCTCTGGAGAAGGTACAGAAAGTGTTTACCAGAATTTTGCCCAGTTTGGAGGATGTCAGCTATGAGGAGAGATTGGACAAACTTGGTTTGTTTTTACTTGAATGTCAGAGGCTGAGAGGCAGCCTAATAGAAGATTACAAAATTATGATAGGCATGGATAGAATGGATAGTCAGAGTCTTTTTCTCAGGGTTGAAATGCTAATTACTAGGGGACATAGGTTAGGTAAAAGGCGGTAAAATTTAAAAGAGATGTGAGAGACCCACACAGGGGGTAATAGGTGCCTAGAATCCGCTGCCAGAGGAGGTGGTAGGAGCAAAATGAGCAACATTTGACATGCATCTTGAGAGATACATGAATAGGCAGGGAATAGAGGGATTTGGACAGCATAGAGGCAAAAGGTTAGAAAGGCGATATGTGCCAGCACAGGCTTGTTGGGCTGAAGGTCCTGTTCCTGTGCTGTAAAGTTCTTTGTTTTTTGTTCTATGAAGGGATGAGAACGCGACACAGATAGTAGAAAAGTGAGTTGTGAAGAGGACGTATACATCCTACAAAAGGGCATGGATAGGTTGTGTGAGTTGGCAAAGGTCTGGCAAATGTAAAAAAGTGTGAAATTATTCCTTTCGGCAGAACAAATAGAAAAGAAGCATATTCTCTAAATGGTGAGAGGTTGAAGAGCTCAGAGATGCAGAGAAAACTGCGTATCCTAGTGCATGAATGACAGGTTAGTAAGCAGGTACAGTAGGATTCAGGAAAGCTAACAGAATGTTATGGTTTATTGAGAGGGGAATTGAATGTGAGAGGTTATGCTTCAATTATACAGAGCATTTGTGAGACCACATCTGGAGTACTGTGTATAGCATTGGTCACCACATTTATGGAAGGATATTAATGTGCTGGAAGCAGTTCAGAGAAGGTTTATTAATCTAATACCTGGAATGAGTGGATTGCCTTATGAGTAAGGGCTAGACAGGCTGGGTCTATGTCCTCTGGAGTTTGGAAGAGTCAGAGATGGCTTAACTAGATCCTGAAGAGGTGAATGTTGAAAGCATGTATCACCTTTTGGGAGAACCTATAACTAATGTCGCAGTTGAAAAATAAGGGGACGCTCATTTAAAACAGAGATGAGGAATTTTTCTCTCTCAGAGGATTGAGTGTTTTTGGAATTGCCTTCCTCAAAAAACAATGGATGCAGAATTTTTTAAAGTTTTTTTTATAGCAGAGATAGATAGCTTATTGATTAACAGGGATGTAAGATTATTGGGAATTTGTAGGATTGTAGAGTTGAAGTTAAAGTCAGATGACCCTGATCTTAGACATTGTGGACAGGCTCAAGGGGCTGAGTGGCCTACTCTTGTTTCTTGTCCATATGTCCAATTTGGAGAGAAGTATAATTTATGTAATGACACAATTAACAACCATCTTCTCTTACCAGGATTAGTGAATAGTTGACTCTCCACTGTTTTAGCAATGCATTGGAGTTTGACAGCTTCCAGTGAATATTCCACATGCAGGACATCCGGCATGCTGCGCAAGGTGTCTCTTACCAGGTTTGCCACTTCTCGCACGTCTATCAGTTTCAGAAGCTCGGAGTATACAGCTGGAAAAGAGCTCAGGAACACAGCCTGGTGAAAACAAAGGAAGTCTAGTCACCAACTGAACAAAGTCGACATTAAAACTTAACTTGAACCACTAGAAGTGCAGAAACAGTTGCATCGTTCTGCTCACCACCTCCTCCCTCCCATGATCCAGCACCTTAAGCACCAGGCAAACAGCAATTAATTGCTCTATGTTCAGTTTAGGATACTGCATTCGCAACTTGTGATGTAACCTCCTCTATACTTGGGATATTGAGTACTGAATAGGTGATTGCTTTGCTGCATATTTCAGTTCAGACTGCATGATTGATCCTGAGCTTCCAATTGCTGGCTAATTTGATTCTTCATCTCACTCCCACTCTGACATTGCTGTCCTCTGCCTCCTATTGATCTAAGTTTGCAGAACAGCACTTCATTTTCAATTTCGATTATTTCCATCCTTCCAGACTCAACACTAAACTTAATAATTGCAGATCATGATTGCTGACCCCATATTCATTTGCAACTCCTCCAAACCCATCTTTTGTTTCTTTACTTGTCCTGTTACAACCTCTTTTTATCTTGTATCATCATTCTTTTTATAATTTAAGTGCTCCTGCCTTTCACTATGTCACATTCCTTCGCTTTAGCACTTAGCTTCCTTCCTTTACCCCATTCTTCCTTTCCCAGCCCCGCCCTGGTTTAAATTGTTACAGCTTGAACTTCTTCTATGGTTTAAGGTCATGGGTCACGGTGCATGGCAACCCAAATTCAATGTCCGCACCATGGAGTTTTGCAGTTAATTAATCTGATTATGGCCCATTCTGTGGGCATGTCAGCATTTTGCAATCAGCAAAATGGTATCCCACTGTATATGGAGGCCACCGTCTCTATGGAGGCAACCTGGTGAGACCATTGGAACCAGAAACTCCATGCTGTAAAGACCAAATGTAATAGGAGCAAAAGTAAGCCATTCATCCCATTGAGTCTGCTCCACAATTCAATGCAGTCACTGCTGATTTAATAATCTGCAACTCCACGTTCCTGCCTTTTCTCCTTAACGCTTGATTACCTTATTGATTAAAACACTGTCTATCTCAGCCTCGAATATACTTAATGACCCCTCTACAGCCCTCTTTGGTAAGGAATTCCACAGATTCACTGCCGTCAGAGAAGAAATGCCTCGCTTCTGTCACAACTGTGCAACCCCTTATTCTGCGATTATGTCCTGTCATCCTAGAATCTCCCACAAGGGAAAAGAATCTTTCCCCTAAAGAGTGGGTTGTCAATAGAAAAGACCACACCTGTGGCCGAAACATACGCCTGGGGAGGTTTCCTCTCTGCTTTTCAGAGGCCTAAAGGCTTCACCCTTGATAACTTTAATTTTAAACATAAGCCTCCATGTTGAGGGAGGAACAAGGGATATTCTATGTTGAGACACACGGTTTTCTTGGGGAGGGTGCTGAATCTCAGGGTTGCTTGCCTACTCACTGAGATGACAGCATCAGGCTGCCTGCGCCACATTCTTATGCTGCTGATATAAGGAGGCTGCCTGCAAGAAAATTGCGCAGTTACGCAGAGAAGTGCAGGCTATGGGATGCCACTCAATACTGACTTCAGTATTCCCAAAGCCTACAGGAAATTTCAACCCGATGACTCCCAATATTTATAGGATTTCTCAAGCTCATGCAAAATGGAGTTTCAAATTTACTAATCTTTTCAATGCTAGATAAATAAAAGAAAAGAAAATGCAAGTCAAACTATCAAATGTAAATTTCTGTATAGTTAGAAAATGAAAGCCCAATTGTTGGCATTTTATGGTGACTGCTCACAAACAAAAGGAGCATTCAAAATGTACAGGTAGATGATTGAATCATTCATTTCGAGAATTAAGAGCAACCATATCTTTTAATATTAAAGGACATGCATCTGGAATTTCACAACAGAATAATGGATTGGAGGTGAAATAGGTCATTGAAAATTTTTTTTCTTCACTTGGGGATGTGGGTGTTGCTGGCTGGACAGCCTTTATTGCTTATTCTTAGTTGCCTTTGAGAAGGTGACAGTGGGCTTCCTTCTTGAACTGCTTCAGTCCATGTGTTGTGGCTAGACAGTTAGGAAGGGAATTCCAGGCTTTTGACTCAACGATACTGAAGGAAATTTTCCAAGTCAAGATGGCGTGCAGCTTGGAGGGAACTTTGAAGTGGTGGTGTTCTCATATAACTGCTGCCCTTCTTTTTTGAGATGGAAGTGATTGTGGGTTTGGGAGGTGCAGTCTAAGGAAGTAATCAAGCCAGCTGCTTTGTCCTGGATGGTGTCAAGTATCCCAAGTGTTGCTGGAGTTGCATTCATACATGCAAGTGGGGGGTATTCTATCACACTCCTGACTTGTGACTTGTAGAAGGTGACCAGGCTTTGGGGAGTCAGGAGGTGAGTTGCTTGCTGCAGGATTCCAAGCCTCTGACCTGTTCTTGCAGCTATTGTATTTATATGGCTCGTCAAGTTTAGTTCCTAGTCAATGGTAACCCCCAGGATTTTATAGTGGAGGATTCAGTGACGGTAACACCCACTGCTGTCGAGGGGCAATGGTTAGCTTGTCTCATATTAAAGATAGCTATTGACTGGCATGTAAGTGGCGTCAAACTTATTTGCCACTTTTCAGCCGAAGCTGAACACCAAACAACAATAACAGTACAAGGGGACAGTGACCACAAAACAAGTGCTGCTGAATGAGGAGCTGTTCTTTCCACTCTGCTTGATTTTATTTAAATTCAAAGGAAATTGTTTGGGGTACAAAATGAGGTACTGGCTCATGAGCATCAATTTTACATTTTGCTCAACTTGGAGAATGGAGGACTTGCTCAGGATTTCCAACAAATCTTTCTGTTAGTGAGTTATACTGAAATTTCCTGGGAATCCCTTTCACCTATGTCAGCACATTAGAATGATCATAAATCAAGTGGAAATCCATGTTACCAGCCAAGGCTTGAGCAAAGTGTGGCGTTCATAGCACACTCCTCCTTTAAGTTTCTCTTTTGCTAACAGAATCTGAGCTGATTGGTGAGATTAAAACCAAGACCCATACATTGTTCGTTTTGTAGAGTCTCTATGGACTTGCTCAGTCTTATCCTGCTCATCCCGCAGCTGTGTCAATGCTCAGATAATTAATAGCCATCACTTGCTTCTCTTGACTTTAAATAATGACATTAAAACACTTAAACAAATTTGATTAACCAGACATCAATATCTTTGGATGCAAAAATAGGTGCAGTCTGTTTCAGTAAAACCAGTTGTGGAAGATTTTCATGTGAACCTAAAGAAGTGCTTAAAGATATCAAGAATACATTATAGATCCCCGCGAGGAGAAAAGAAGTGTTTTAAAACTCATCAGAAAGCACCTTCCTATGTGACAAAAGCCACCTTTTGGTACTCTTAGAACATCATTTTGCTACAGCTTTTCAGTAAATTGTGGATGAAATGCAGCAATCCCAGACCATCCCATTAGCTGCATCAGTGAAGATCCATGAACTTTTCAATATTTTCTAATTTAATTCCAGTTCGGAACAGCATATAATTCATTTCTAATTTACTTATATGCCAGGGATACACTCTGGCTGACTTAAACTATTCAGCTGGGTGAGGCTGCATTCACCTGATTCCATCTTATCTTATTGTAACCAGAGAATCACCTGCACTCGTCTCTCTGCCTGTTCCGGCACTGTAACTTCCGATGTCCCCTCCTATTTCTCAAATATATTCTTCCCCCTTGGTAACATCCTTTCAAACTACATCAGCTTGGACACAGGCTGAAACGTGTAACTCCACCTCACTACAGGCTCCTTCAATGCCTCTGAAATAACTCCAAAGAGGGCGGTATCCTGTCACCCTATATTTACACGTGGGAAGTCCTTGCCATTGATCCAACTCCCTAATAGCCAGCTTCTAGAATGACAGGATGTCTGAAACTCCTGTTCTTATCTTTCAGCCAGGTCTCCCTGATTGGACCAGATTAACAGCCCCAATCAAGGAACTCATTTTCTATGAGGTCCACTTGGCTGACCTCATTACAATCACCACAGCCTCCACTGTCTCAACATTGCTTATCCAATAATCAATGCAGGATGAGCAGAAATTTCTTCCATACAAAAAAAAATGGGAAGTCCAAAGTCTTCAATCACTATGACAAACTCTGCTCCCTAAAGGCAAATTCCATCTCTCTCCTGGCCAACTGTTAAAACAGTTTGCAACCCTCATTTAATACTTGATCATGAGATAAGTATGCAAACACATATCTGAGCATCACCAAGACCACATATTCTCACGTCTGGATATTACTTTCGTCACCCTGTTTCTGAACCCAAATTTATATCTTTGCTACTTCTAGTTTGACTTTTCCAGTGTAATCCTAGCCAAATCCCATATTCTACCCTTTGGAAACCTGTCATCCAGAATTTGCTGCCTAAGTCCTAACTCAAAACCATTCACCCATCACCTCTCTGCTCACTGACCCATGCGAGCTGATACAGGGTGTCCTTGCATAAAGTTGAAGTGGCGTTCCTGAAAATCACAACTTTAAGCATAACGTTGATTCACATAGGAACCAAAGAAAAAAACTGGAATCCAGTTTCAGAGGGTCTTCCTCAGCAGAAAAAATATTTTAAAACATCATGCCTGTGCCCTCTAAATTGATACACAGTACCACCTGTACTTTAAAGAGCTAATTTCCTAAGCTGGTAAATGTAATGTCAAAAATGAAAGGATTTAAAGACATGAAAGAAAAACGGAATATTCCACTGACAGTATCCCCATTCCTCCACTGTGAGACTAACTGCCTGAAGTCTGTGCTGGCAACCAGGCCCTTCCTCATTGAGCTCCAGGCTTCCTGCTGTGTCTATTACTTGTTCGCTTGAGGGGGTACCAGCTACTCTTGTCCAATGGAGTTTGGCAGCTCCACTGTGATATACTGCTGGATGTGTGCCGAACGAGCTCCCGCTGGTATCTCATTGGGCGTGATGGGAGGGGCTGCTGCCCAGCTCAGTGTGACCAGCGACTTGCAGACTTTGGGGGGAGCGAGGGGAAGGTTGCCCCTAAGCTAAGTTGTGGCTGGTGTCCTGCAGGCTTCATGGATGAGGGTCTGGCACCCTGTCGGAGAGGCAGCTGTGCCAGGTCTGGGTGCTGGTGGTGATGACAGCCTCTCAGGTGGTGGCTGCAGCATGACCAATGGTAAGCAGCAGCTTCAGTGGTGGGTCTGGGCCTGGGAAGGGAGTGGAGGGCTCCCTGAAGCAGACAACAAGCAGTGGTGTGGCACAGAGACAGGCCACCCAAAGTTCAGCAATCAACTCAGGTAATGTACGGCAGTTTACAATGTCAAAACTCATCAGATGATGCTCAATGAGATTTCTGGTTCTAATGACAATGTGATTAAAGCAAAATAGTGCTGAAAGGAGCAACGTTAAACATGGACTGCCAGTAACGGAATGCCTTGCTTTTACAATTTTCATCCTTGTTTTCCAAAATGTCTCTGTAGCCCCATCTTTACCCGTCTGAAATGCCCTCTAACCCTATAACCCTCCAAAACATCAGTGCTCTCCAGTTATATCCCTCTAATGGTTTTAATCATCTCACCACTGGTCAGCATCTGTCCTTGCCTAGGTCCAAACCTCTGGAATTCATCCTGTTAAAACATCCGTTCCCTTTCCTCATTTAAAAAGTTTCTAACAACACCTCTCTTTGACCAAATATTTGGTCACCTTGTGCTGATTATTTTGTTTGGTAACACTCCTGTGAAGCATCCAGGGAAGTTTTCCTGGATGAAAAGCATGATATAAATACAAAGTCAGAAGTCACCCGACACCAAGTTATAGTCTAACAGGTTTATTTGAAATCACAAGCTTTTGGAGTGCTGCTGCTTTGTCAGTTGAAGTCACTTCACCTGACCTCAACTGACAAAGGAGTGGCACTCCGAAAGCTTGTGATTTCAAATAAACCTGTTAGACTACAACCTGGTGTCATGTGATTTCTGACCTTGTCCATCACAGTCCAACACCAGCACCTCCACATCATATAAATACAAGTTAAAGATGTCACGTTGGCTGACCTGTGTCTGTGTAATGATTGAGGAACCTTGGCTTTCAATAGACAGGAAGTAACGCACTGACTGGAATAATTCATAAATACTGCTTCGAAATTCTTCCTCATTCTGTCCACCAGTTGCAAGAGTGTATAGGCTTCGGGAATGAATTATATATTTAAATATATATTCCTGTGCCTATAATTGGAATTAGACAACTGTTAGTTATATAGCTGTGAAATTATTGTACATGTTCCATTTAAAAACTATTGAAACAACAGAAAACAAAAGGTTCACACAACAGCAATAATAAATTGACCCATGTCATTTTAGTACAAACCTAAAATTCATAACTTGTTGCTTTATGGAAATGACTTATTGTCCAGTGGCTGACACCTTTTTAATTAATTTTAATTAATCTATTAATTAGCTGTCATTATTCATAATTCATATTCTAACAATTACTTGCTGAATAATTAATTAATAATAATTAATAACGGAGGTGTCCAAGTCTTCATAAATGAAAATGTAATTCCTGGATTCATTCAATATCTTGGAATCATACAGTGGATCTGTTCAAGCTGGACTTTCTATAGGTTTAATTAAGGTGCGCGGAATCTTACCCAATGCATTGATGTTTAATAATGAGGGGGTAGGTTGGCTGGTTTGCAAATCAGAGAAATGCCAACACAGTGTGTGTTCAATTCCTGCACCAGCAGAGATTAGCATGAAGGACCCTCTTTCTCAACGTCTCCCCACACCTGAGGGATAGCGTTCCTCAGGTTAAACCACTACCAGTTGTCTTTCTCTCTTTTGAGAGAGCAGCCCAATTGTCTGGTAAGAGGATATAGACTGCTCTCTCCCCTGCAAGGAAAGCAGCTGGATGCTACCTGCTGCTGAGAGTGCCTGCCTCACAGGCAGGACATGCTGACAGTGGGCTAATTGCTGGAGAATCGAACCAGCATTTGAGAGTGGGAAGAACAACCACTCTCAGGAGCCGCTGACCAGCAGCTCCATCATTTCCAATAGTGCCAGTGCTTAGTAGTGGGTGTTGTCAGGTATGCAGGAGGTTGCTCAAAGAGGATCATGTCCACTTCAAGAGACTAAGTCCTGGAATTTCAGGATGAGGAGGAACCCCACAGCCCAGGGAGGAGTGTGGAATAGCAGTGTCAGACAGTGAGTGCAGAAGGAAGTGGATAAGTTGGGAGATCACAATGTGTCCCGAAAGTGTCCCCCCTACATCCCACCTTTTTTCATGCAGACCAATAAAAACAGTCTGCCCACTCCTGTTTGACTGACTGCATGAAGTGTATCAGAGCATGGGCAGCACATTATTCAGGTCAATGCGCCTGTTAACAAGTCGAAATGACCCTGAATGATTTATTTAAATATGGTAAGCAGGCTGCCAGTTTCACTGCCTGCCTGCCTAGTGTATTATGCGGATGTGCAGGAGGGGAGTGAGCAAGCCACCTGATGTATTTTATAGCCACCTTCCCTGTTCAAAAGTGTCAGATAGAGGTACATAAAATCCAGTCCCACACCTCTTCATCTTCAATAATAGGACATTTAAACTTGCAGATGCACTCAATACGAGGGGACACCAATGTTCATATTTCAATGTCATTATTTGAACAATGTTTCCCACACTTAAGAAAAAACTTTAAACAAAATCACTGAAGACAACTGCAAACAAGACTCTTGCATCAAATGGTTTTCTAGTGATTACAATCACTAAATAGTGTTTGTTAGTCTGACATAAGCTAGTAATAATCTATATACTAGATTTGCTTAGGATGTCAGATCTTTCCGATTTGGATAGCATTCTCTAGGTGATATTTGGATAGGGTTTTCACATTATAGAGCTCCCTATCATTGTAAAACCATGTAGATAAAATGAGAGCGAGAAGGAAAGAAAATTGAAATTAAGAAAGAGAGACGAGATAGAGACAGAAGGAGAAAGTTATAAACAATTCCTTATATTTCCATACCTCCAATGCCGATTCCAATCTGAGACTGCACATTATATAAGTTACTTTTCTGTGCCAGAGAAGCTGCTCAGTAATAAATATGATTGAGTATAATGTTAAAAATTCATTTGCACTTGAATGGATAATTGCGTATTTCACGGGTGTCAACTGAGCAAGTGACATTCATATCCTCAAATACCAGTGGCACAAAGCATGTATAGTAACAGTCAAAACAAGCAGCAACATTCTGATGTTTGCGTTTAATCTGCAAACCACAAGTTGATTGAAACTTACCCTTCAATTATATTGAGGATTGATGGCACCATTATTCTTAATACAATATCTAGATCTTTGGTTTATAAGTTTTGCATCTTATCTCTGAACCGCAAGAGTTGTTATTTCACTTGTATGTGCTGCAAATAATTGCAATATTTATGAACTGCACTACATCCCTAGAGTCACTGCAGTAGTGAACTGAAAAGATTGAAATCCTGATGTATCTTTAATATGAACATTTATTAGTGCATACAACACTTACCCTCAAAACATCCTGAATATGTTCCTGTCTCTCTGCTTCTATTGATCGATCAATGTATCGTTTCAGCACTTTTATAAGGTCCCTGTAACAGTTAAAGCATCGTGGTGTTATATGAATGTTGATTTTAAAATGTATGCATTTTCCTCCTTAGTTCTTTTTGCTGGTGAAAAAGGGTAAACTACATCTCTATCACCAACTTTCAAAAACCAAATACGATAATGCTTTCAAAAGCAACTCCACTTTTTATGACCTTTATTTAGAAAAGCGTGGTCTCATTTTGGTGTCTACAAATTTAACAATTGTCTATGTGAATTCATTTTCACTCAGCGTACAGAATTTCGACCTGTAGCATTCCAGCTACATAAGTTCGATGTTGATACTGACACAGCATTTTCACTGGGGAAAGTTAAACTGCTCTCATCTGAAATTTTTTAGACGCCTTTTAATGATCTACAATTATGTGGCGTGTTTTGAGAAAATCAAAATTCTTTTGTTGAAAACCTAACTGAGCAATCTGAATATGTACAAGGGAGAAAGCGAGAAGTCTAATAGATAATAAAAAGATCAAGGAATATGGGATTGTACCCTTGTATGGCTGGTATGCGATAGTTTTTTTTTATTCATTCACAGGATGAGGGCACCGGAGGTTAGGCCAGCATTTATTGCCCATCCCTAATTGCCCAAAGGGCGGTTAAGAGTCAACCACATTGCTGTGGGTCTGGAGTCACATGTAGGCCAGACCAAGTAAGGATGGCAGTTTCCTTCCTTAAGGGATATTAGTGAGCCAGATGGGTTTTTTTCCTGATAATTGACAATGGATTAATAGTCATCATTACACTCTTAATTCCAGATTTCTTTTAAACTGAATTCAAATTCCACCATCTGCCATGACGGGATTTGAATCTAGTTCTCCAGAACATTACCTGGCTCTCTGGATTAACAGTCCTGCAATAATTCCACTGAGCCATCACCTCCCTATCATAGATAGTGCAGGTTAAAGTATGAAATCAGCCATTAATCTAATTGAGTGGCAAAGCAGGCTTGCGGGCCCAAATAGCCCACCCTTGCTCCACTTTCTTATGATCCTATAACTATAGCTGAGAGTTGGCTTAGAGGGTTTATTGAGACAGTACTGTGATATAGTTGAGAATTTCTGCTGATATCCCCAAAATGCTCTCAGCATGCATTTTCAAAGCACAGATGCACATTACCCCCTCCAGTACTGCCAGTGACATCATTCTAACCCATTCGTTCATGTTTATTGCGCTTATTTGAGTGCTGCCATTATTTCTTTTGAACTGGCAGGGCGTTTCAGTGTGAACGTGCAGAACTTTCCACATGTACAATGGAAACCTTTTGGGGGTGTCAAGAGACACAGTGTATTAGTTATGCCAACACAATGGAGAAGAATCCATCAAATGGATTGTATAAACACAAAGGCCCCATTTACACTGCAGAAAATTCAGGTCAGTAGTGAAGCCAGTGAAGACTGTGCACGTATGAGGTTGCAATCACAACACTGTAGCAATGCGCTACTAGCCATAAATTTGATCATCAGGCAAATAGACTGGTCTACTCATGTGATAAAGAAGTTTTAGAGCATCTTATGTTGACTTTGAAACTTCATTTGAACATTATACACGTACAATGCTGGTACCACTACTCCCAAACAATGTTAAAATGAAAGGCTCACAAGTATTTGGAAGACAAAAAACATGATATTACGAAACATCTCACAGAGGTATTTGACAGTACTTCCCACACACTGGTGGGTATATTGGATTCTTTGACTACTCAAATAGGGAATTCATTTTAAGGCATAATAAATAAAAAGCCAGAAGAGAACATCTGACACTATTCTCTAAATACAAGAAACCCAGAGAAAATACAACACAATGAAAATGAGGAAGCAAAATCACTGGGCAGTACCTGTAAGCTAATGCTCCAGCAAAATGGCTTTCTATGTATGTATCCATGACTGGCTTAAAATGCTGAAACTTGATGTCCTGCAGCAAATTGATTATATGAACCTGCAATAGACAATTGCATGAGAGGCAAAAATATTCATACAAAGACATTCTAAATGGGGTACACTTCAGTCAATTAAATAAAAGTAAAATACTGTTGATGCAGGAAATTCAAAACAAAAACAAAGTACTGGAGAAACTCAACAAGGCTGTCAGCATCTGTGAAGAGAGAAACAGAGTTGTCATTTCAAGTCCAGTATGACTCTGTTTTTGGAAATTTGTTTGGACAAGTTGATTTCTACAGTTAAAATGTTAAACTGTTCAGAGGTCAGGAAATAGTGTCTCAGGAGAAAGGTAGATGATACAATGGGACAAAGGGAAGTGCAATGAATGCATTTATATATATATCATGCACAATTTATTTTTTTATGATAATCTTACACCCTCCGAACACAGACAAAATAATTGGCATTTTTGTTAAAATTACTTGCAAATTACATTTCAATTTAAAGCAAAGGAGTGTCATTTGTTAGAAGCATATAGAATATGGATTACTTGGCTCACAATTGCACATCACCTCACATAGTTGTTCTGAAGTAAGTGAAATAACTAAAATACTCACCAATGAATCAAAAACCTTCAATCCATATTTTTGTGGATTTTCATCCAAAATTCCAAATAATGCATCCAATGTATCTTGCAGAAACTAGAAAAGGAATTTGAAGGAGAATTTAGAATCACAGGTCTTCCCAATAAATCATGGGTCATCTTCCATATTCTGCTGGGGAAATACCAAACTACAACATGCTTTCTACCTTGACTATTTCTGCACCATCGATATCTTTGAATTTTGACAGGATGTCACATATTCTTTCTGGGTGGGCTCTCCACTTCAAAAAATCCAACAAGTCTCCTGAAAAAAGTAAAAATGTTAAAAGTCAGAGTACAAAAAAGGTTAAACTGCCAACAAACAAACATTATAATTATTTTAGTCCTGTGTAATTGTAGAAGTTAAAATTAAAATTTGGTTTCTACTTTCAAATCAAAAGTACTTAGGTGCGAGTAAACTAAGCACAGTGTTGCTTATATATAGATGTGCAACTGTTGAAAACAAGCTTTTATCACAATAAATAAAGCAATGTGCTAGAGACACAATGTTCAGGCACAAGCTGTGGAGAAAGGAAACTGAAAGCTGACCCTGTGATCCTTTATCAGATTTAGAAGGTAGACGTTAGCTACTTACTCGCAGATCCAATTAGCGCTGCAACAACAAGATTTTCTTGCTTTCAAAATTCAATGAGTGTTGTTAAAAATAAATCAAAATTGGAATGCGGTATAAAACCATCAGCTGAATTTATAATGGGCTTTGGGACCTCAACATCAGGACCAAAATCGAGCTCACTATCCTAAGGGTGGAAGCTGGGATCTTGCACCCTCAGCCATATATTAGTTTCGTATACTGACCCTTGTGGGGTACACAACCACAGCCAAATGAAAGAACCTAAAGCAAAATAAGCACATATACTCCATTTTCCTAACATTCTGAGTGAACTTAGTAGAGCACAGAAAAGACAAGATCCAAACTGTCTTCCTTTCTGGCACTCCTGTGGGGCTGCTCAGGCTTCAGAGCTTTCGTCTTGGATCAGCATTTTCTCATTCACGCCATAAAATAAGTAACGTGCAACATGAATTTCAGTGCTGGTGTGGGGCTAGATATGTAGGCGTACATCCTAAGAGTGGATCATATGAAATAACATGTTCCTTTGGCTGTTCATAACAGGCAGAGTACTGACTATATCAACCAATCTGTGCTTGCAAAACACAGGACTTACTGCCTAACATTAGATGTGATTCTGTGATTAGATAGCACTAACTAAACAATTCTGATTACGTTAAGGATTATACTAAAAACTAATTTAAGATTATTCATCAGGCTTGCAGTTTAGCTCACTTATGCTTGCTAGAGCCCATAGATACTTCATGCACAGCCCAGTCGTTTGCAAACAGAAAGAGTACATTCACACATTGCATCTTTTTCAACTAAACAAAAGCTTGGGGGAAACTGTCAGCCTCTGGTTAATTCCCTTAGGCAATGTTTTAATCAGTCAGAGCCGACTTGTCCAGTTTAAGTTTAAACAATAGCTTCGCAGCCAACTGCCAGTCCCTGGTGCATTCTCCATGGCAACACTTCTAATAATTAGAGTCCACTGGCTATCCAATCACTACCCTGTTTCCATGCAGTACCAATGGTTGATTTCTCTGAGGTTTGACTTTCTTGCGCTCCTGTCCTGCTTGTCACCAATATAATTCTGCCCTATCAAGCAACTATTTGTTTCTTTGTCATCACTGTCAATAAACAGCATATCCTACTGTAGGAGTACCATCACCACAGGGTCTCTTTTGGTTTAGTAAGGTATTCCCCATCTTCACACCCCCAACACCACTTTCATAAGAGAGTGACGAATTTGAAGTAAACATAGAATTTACAGATCTGCCACTAATCAAATCACAAATAAGAAAGTTAACGCAGTGCACAATTCGTCACTGTCTGCAAACAAACATATTCTGTCATAATATGTGCAAATGGATGGAGTTTTACTATTTTTTCATATACTTCATTTTGTGTCAGATGGCTGAGTCATTTAATTTGGCAAATATTAATATTGAGCAGTGTAAAGGCAGTTAAATCTGATAACCTGAATCTTTTAGAATTTTATTACATCCTCTCCAATTGTACAAGTTCTGTTCTGCAAACCACTCAATATAACTTGAAGACCCAACTTCTAGAATCATCGTTGTTAGCACTATCTGAACTCTTTTCAATATGTCAGTAGACAGAAACTGAGCTACAAACACAGCCAAATGAAAAGAACTTAAAGCAAAAAGTATATTCATTCCTTTTTTCTACCATTCTGAGTGAGTTTAGTCGAGCACAGAAATGACGAGATCCAAAAAGTCTCCTTGGAAGCTTTGACTGGTTGACTGTTGCCATGGAGATTTCCTTTACAATACTGAAGTTTGAGGTAGCGAGCAGGGTCCTGAAAGCTGGTGTTTTCTTCACACTGCAAAACAGAAATTTGTCAATTTTATTAGCCTTTGCCAACTTGACATGTTATAACAGGAAATTTTGCACTATTGTCAAACTGTATCACCGCAGGTAATTAAAATCACCTGGAATGTGTATCTAGGACACGTTCGCATCGGTTAACAGAGGTGCAGATTTTTTTGGAGATTTGTTATGTGAATTAGTTGGGAATCATAATTCCAGTGTGTCTAGATCAATGTGTAGCGTTCATTATTTTGTAATCATAACTTTGGCAACAGGTCAATGTCACTGATAATAGAACATCAAAGTCACCAAAGTAGAGTTCAAAAATTTTTGGAGACAAACACGTTCTTCCATGCCTTTTATCTACCCCCACGCTCAAGGCCCTGTCATGATTTTGGTTGCTTTCAGCGCAGCAAACCCATTTTCATCGATTCATGGTCCCCATTATCAGCTTTTCTTTCTCCTGAGCATACTATTACCTATCCCTTTGTCTCCTTAACTGTTACTCTCTCTCTCTCAAAAACAGAAATAGCTGGAGAAACTCAGCAAGTCCGGCAGCATCTGTGGAGAGAAATCAGAGTCAATATTTCGGATCCAGTGACCCTTCTATAGAACTGACTGTAGCTGGGAAATGGTTGGTGTACATGTTGAAGATGGCATGGGGGAGGGGAGAGCAGTTACCAATAGGTGGAGAGGGAGCCCAGAGAGAGAGAAAACAGCAGTTGGGCAGACAAAGGAATGGGTAAAAGTGAGCTAGGAAAAAAGAAATGGACCATTGATGACCATTGAAAATGGGTTGGGTGAAGAGACAGTAGCCCATATGAGACAAAGTCTGGTGTGTGGGGGTTGGGGGAAGGGCACGGAAGGAGGTTATCAGGCCCTAAAATTATTGAACTCAATACTGAGTCCTGGAGGCTACAGGGTCGCCAAGCATAAAATGAGGTGTTGTTCTATCAGTTTATGCTGAACTTAGCTGCAGCAAGCCCGAAGCAGAGATGTTGACCAGAGAACACGGTGATTTGTTAAAGTGGAAACACTTCTAACAGACAGAATGTAGGTGTTCTGTAAAGCGATTGCCCAGTCTGGGCTTTGTCTCCCCAGTGCAGAAGAGATCACATTGTGAGCAGCGAGTATAGTAGGCTAGATTGAGTGAAGTGCAAGTAAATCGTGGTTTCACCTGGAAGATGCATTCGGGACATTGGATAGTGAGGAGGGAGGAAAGAAAGGAGCAGCCGATTGCATGAGAAGGTGCTGTGGGAGGTGGGGGTGGTGGTGGTGATGGGGAAACGCTGGGAGTGGATAGATACCAACCTTTTCTAAACTACAATCAGTTTAGAACAAGTGTCACTGGCCCCGAAACACTGACTCTGCTTTCTCTCCACAGATGCTGCCGGATCTGTTGAGTTTCTCCAGCTATTTCTGTTTTTTGTTAGGATTTCTGTTTTTTGTTGTTCCCTCACTCTGGGCTCCATCTCCACCTATCCACTCACTCCTTTCTTCCATTCCCTGTCTTCAGCATAAATACCATCTTTTCCTAGCTATCTTCAATTCTGAATTGTCACTGGACTTGAAACGTTAACTCTGCTTTCTTTCCACGGAGGCTGCCAGACCAGATTTTCTCCAGCAATTTCTGTTTTTGTTACCAAAGTCATCACAATGCATAAGCCATAATCCTGACATTTATACTGGAATTGTGCCTGATTGTGCCCTCCAGCTCTGAACCTATTATAGATTGGAAAGTCAGTGGTCGTGCACCTAATTTATGTGGATTTGTGGATGCCCATAGCATTGAGTTCATCTTCAGACACTAATTAGTGAAGAGCATTGCCATGTGAGTGAAAAGGCTGATAAGGTTTCCCTCTCACTGATTGATGCCTTACAAAACATTATAGAGCAAACCTTAAGACTCTGTTCCAGCTAGTACAAAATTCATTTTCCTCAATCCTTTTCTCTCATTAAGGTAGTTGAGTTTGGCAGCATCCTGGCTGCTTCATGGTATGCTATTATGCGCAATCATATTTTCCCAATATGATAAATACATGCAATATTATGTAGGGTGTCAAACCAGTGTCTCTTACATTATTATCACTTTTTATGCCCCTCTATCAATTTAACTCATAACGACATTTGTCAGTTTTGTTGCTCACTTGAACTATGTGCAGAACAACTTTATACATAATTAGCAAATCGCGACTCAATTTTTACTTCCTCTCCAAATTCAGTGGTCAGGAAATACTTCAAAATCATTGTATTTACATATCTACTTCACTTTCCTTATTATTTCCACTGTGTTGGTGAGCACAACAGAACCTTTGCAGCAAGATGCTTGGAACCACTGAATGATGGTTTGGCAGAGACAAACACTTGGTATTGTCCATAAAGATTTACTGCAATTTTATTCCAGGTACAATTACACTACTTAATGATTCAATTATACTCAATGTGCAATTACCTTGTGGACTAAGAGTTCATGAATACCATCTGGCAATGTTCTGCCATCTTCTTGCATCAGTGGAACAAAGGAGAACCCAAAAAGCTTTTTCTCTCCTTTTTCCTTTGCTGGAAATAAAAAAAAACACAATTAAGAGGCTTTGGGAAGATTTCCCACCTGAAGGTTAGTCTAATTGATAAAAAGCAAAAATTTTGAATTAGAACTGGGTCTTAACAGTTTGTTCTGAGAACAGCAAAAGCAGAGAACTATTCCGAGAGTCTATTAGGCCCTCAAATTGTGTTTAAGAAAACCCCAATGTTCTTTCCTTTTCTCTGAGATTCCCACTGGTGTTTGAAGTGCTAAATTAATTTTGGTCTGCTGTGTTATTTTCCAGGGTTAAGACATAGTTTTCCTCCATGAAAAAGTGGTCTCCGCATTGCGTTGATGACCTCGATTATACTAAAGGGTTAATGTTTTATCAAATTTAGTTTGTTGTTACAATTTTGGCAATAGCAATTGCCACAGACAAAAAGAGAAAATGAGAACCCTCCCTTGTTCAGCAACTTAATTCCAGTCAATACAGGACAGCAACCGAACTACTGTTTCCTGATATAACTGTGGAAGAATTATTCATTTTGATGTAATGTTTCTCATGTAAAAAGCAACATGCTTCCTTGTAGACGATGTAACATGATGAAGCCCAATACAGTCACAGCAGAAACAATTCCCAAATTTGTCACAAACCAATTCGTAATTTTAATTAAATGCATTAATGAGGCGTCTATATATAAACTGCCATCCATTTTGTTTACACTTGGCAGAGAGAGTGGCATCACCTATTTGTAACTGAAGCTGTTGCCAGCATCATTGTTAGTTTCAAGTCTGGTATCCTTTCTGAAAATCAGCACATTCCTTTATCATGGGATGTGGCTTTAATTTAAATTTGGAGTGATTAAAAAAAATCACATAATCCCAAAATAGAATTTGAATTTCTCTTCCGAGTGCCAAACAGATTACTCCTCCTTCCTAAAACATCATGTAAATGAGATGTAAACAGGGACTCACTGAATCATCATCCATTTTTTTCTCAATTCAAAACAAAATCTGTGTCAACACAGAGAAGGAGCTGCACATAGAGAAAGATTAAAAAGTGCCTACGTTTTTGTCTCCAATTTTTGAACGACAGCCATCACCAGCCTTAATGACGTGGAAATTCAGAGGAAAACAGAACAAACATGAGCAAAATGAAAGTTTGTCTGCAGCTTTTCATTTTAAAGGAGTGGGCCAAGGTGAAAGCAATTCAAATTGTTAAAACTCTTACATTTGAGAATCAACCACAAATAACCCAGTGACTCACTGTTTTTGGAATCCAGAGCCCCTCATTTTTGCTGACGTTTTTCTACATTTATTCTTTAAAGCGTTGTATAACTGTGGGAGGAATCTTATCGAGGCTATGGTGAGAAATGTGCATGATCATGTCAGAAATCCACTGAGGCCTATCTTGCATCGGGAACAACTCACTACATCTCTTAACGAAGTTCTGGGTGTTCAGGCGAGATTCCTGCTCAGCAGTGGTGAGTTGCCAATTGAGGATTGTTACTGTTTAACAACTTTATTAACTGTATGCTTCACCTCATTAATATGCAGTTTTCTATTTTACCAACAACCCGTGAGTAAACTGGGTGCTGACAATTGCCCTCATGAATATCAGAGCAAATAGCTGGCCACATCTGTTCACTGCTGGTTATGAAGAGCCTCCATATTGGTCACCATGCAACAGAATCTCAAGGCATGCTCCATGGGTGCCCATCACATGTCCCCCACAACCATGGACACTCTCATCTGGTATGTTCCAAACTCCAAGAACCCTGAGGGCACATCCGTGATCCTCGTACCAAGGTGCTTCTGTACTTCAATGCTGCACCTCGGGGCACATTGCAGTGGTGCAGCAAGGACATTTTGTGCTCAGGGACACACACCCCGTTCACGGACTGGGCCAGGATGCACCTCCAGGCTGTTTGTTTGCTCTCTTAGTGCTCACTCATTCTGGACCTACCTCATTGTTCACAAAATTCCTGCCTTCCCCTTCCTTGGCACGTGGATCGGGGATGTGCCTTCATTCTCTGATGAGAGTGTCTGTGGTTGCGGGGGACATGTGATGGGCACCCATGAAGCATGCCTTGACTCAAATTTTGTTTTGAATTGAGAACTTTGGGCATTGTATTCTCAGCCAGAGCTATCAGGCTCACTGTACTGCTGTAGTGCTGTGCAATTTAGCACAGACCCAAGGCTTGAGATGGTTCTCAGCAGTCCTCAGTCAAATCAAGAGCGATAGCCTTTGGTGTGGGGATCCTGGCACAGCATGTCAAGGGTAGGCTCTGCCAGGGGCTTTGACATGGTCAGCCAGCCACTCAGGGTAGTCAGAGTGAGGATCCTCTCCACAGAGGAGTGAGGAGCTGAACGACGAGCAGCCCATCACCCATCTGAACTCTTTGCATCCTATTGTGGGGAGTTCTGTTCCTGGAATGGGAAAGAGGCAAATATTAAGCCAGATGAAAGTAGATGGCACTTTTGGTGGTTACTTTTGGTGCAGGTGGGGAGGTATCCTCAGCAAGTGATAGGTAAAGCAGAGGGCATGCAGACTTAGTGGTGTTGGGAGTGGGAGAGAGCGTAAAACTGCATGAAGGGCTGATCTGCGTGGCAACCACACGCCAGGCTGACAGAGTCTGGTGTCATGGCCTCCTCTGCTTGCCCTGGAGGAAGATGATATGACAATTCTACATGATCTCATCCACTAAGAAGCAAGATAACAATTTTCCCTTCGCTGCAATGTCGTGGACAAATGTCAAGAACTGTGGAGGGCAACTCTAAACTAACAGTGCTTGTTTGGCAGCATAGTGCCAGGGACACCAGTCCATTCGGGGATCACCCAGCAGTGGCAAGTTGTTCCACGAATACAGAGTAGTAGAATTGGGCTAAAATCAGATGAAAGGGGCGCCAGAGGGGCAGGGTACACAGGTAATGAAGCATATTTGGTAAGATGCAGTGAGAGACCACACTAAGCTATGCACAGAAAAAGCCTCCATGACACTCCACAAAACTGATACTTATCTAAAAAAAAGTGCAGCCCTATGTTACTGAATGTAGTTTAATTACTGTTTAAATATGTATTATTAAGCTTGGAACATCAATCCATAACAGGAATACCACACACCCTTCCATCAAATATTAATCCTTTCCATGTTTTAGTAGACTGCACTGTTTTGACACAAACTGGAAAGGGGCCTATATGCTAGTTGCTGTGTATTTGCGATACATCTGAGACGTAAGATAGTAAACAACATGTACAGAGATCTATAACAAATGCATTACTTGATTTGAAATAATTCCTCAGCAGACTGGCAACATTAAATCTGACAGCCTTTTTTTTCATTTATGCTTGCCGTTCAGACAGGAACGCAGTATTTAGCTTTGCATATATAAGTCAATGATGTAATGGTGCTTACTGGAACAGTGCCTGAATTCAAGGCGGATATGTGCACCCCTAAATTTATCCACTGGAATAGGAAGCTTCAGCGGCTCAGCCCACCTCGGGCTATTGTTGTGGTAAAGCACAAAGGAATGGTGTTCACTCACTGGAATTTCTCCAGACCCCAGTGAAATACAATCCTGTGAAGAAAAGGAAAACAATTCCGTAGGTCAAAGAATTACGACGCTTTTATATTTCTGCACAAAGGAAATCAGAACAGATTTATCTAATAAGCTACAGAATTCAGGCAACAGAAAGGTCATATTGATAGGAAACTGATAAGCTTTGAATCAAATATGTTCTCCTGGTAGTTTAATCAAATAGAACATATTTCAACTATTTGTTGTTAACCTTTTTAAGTTAAGGAGCATTTTACAAAAGAAACTACATCTATCAGAAACATACAAACTTTGTACAGGATTAGTTGAGAAACAAACATAATTAAAAACAAATACAAGTTGGTGTAATAGCTTGAGCGAACGTAACCTTCATTTTAGGCTTAATACAAAATAATGAATCTCAAGTCAATGTACTAAAAGTAAGGGAACACAACTGTGATAAAAGATGGTAGAATTCAACATTAAGATGGTGGCAAAAAGGTTAGTCATGAATCAAGGCCTCATGTTTAGCCAAAGCTGTCACTGCAGGAATGAGGCAGAAATTGACTAAAATGGGCCGGGCAGAAGCACTAACTGGCGATACAATACTGCCAATTTTGTCTTTGGTATACAAATGTCTGTATACTAGAAGTCTACTTGCACAATGAAACAAACCCTGTCAACAACAGAAGTGAGCAATTAAATAACTAAAAGACTTGTATGAAAAGAAAGTACGGGAACAATAGCAATACTCCAGACTGGAAGCGATATAAAAATCAACAAAAGCGTACGAAGAAAAGTTACAAAAGCAGCACAGAAGAAATATAAGAAAAAGCTGGAGAAGAGTAGCAAAAACAATGTTCAAAGTTTTATAAACACAGTTGGAGAAAGACAATGACTCTGATTAACATGGGTACCTTAATCAGAGGCAGGTTGACTATAATTGGGAATCAGGAAATGGAAAATTTACCAAATAGCTACTTCATATTATTCTTTTCAGAATAATATGAAGATAAAATACCAAAGATACAAGGAAAACTAATGTAAATCAAGGGACAAACTAGAACCAATATAGCAAAAACCATGTCAACGACAAAACTCGTTACTAAGGATGGACAAATCATCAGGATCTAATGATTTCCTATTGCCAATGGCACCTCACTACAAAGGGTGGTAGAGGTAACCTAGGAAATTATAGACTTACTCGTCTAATGTTATTCATAGAATTGATAATTATGGACAATGTGATTGAGTATTAGGGATATATGAATTGATTAGAAAGGCTAAGTCAAATCTCATGATCTTGGTTGAGCTTTTTGAGGACTTGACAAATGCGGTGAAATTGGTAGTGCCTGTGGATTTTATTAATATGACATTCCAAAAGGCAAAGTTGAATAAAAGCAACCATTAAAACAAAAGAAGGCAGCCTATTGTATTGAACAGAGAATTAGTTAGGAGACAGAGTACAAAGGCAATGTTACATACACAGAAGCAGAATGTGGCTTGTGTTGCCCCAAGGTTTGGGCTGAGGACACAACTTTTCACTATATACAAAAAATACTTACATAAAGGAAGATAGAGCTGTGCTTCTAATTATTGTTGATAACATTAAGATAGTTGATACAGTAAGTAATGTAGATGAGTACAAAATATTACAAAAGGATATTGATAGATTGAGTGAATAAGAAAAAAAATGTTCAATCTGCAAAATGCACTTCAGATTAATGAAAGTTATATAATTTTATAAACAGGATAAAAATCTAGGAACTGTGAGTGAACAGTGAGAGAGTGTGATTTTGGAGTCCAAGTGCAGGTATCTCAAACTTACTAGACAGCAACAGAAAACAACTTGACAGGTCAGTGGATTGTTGGCTTTTGTTGTAAGAGGGCCGGTATCTAAAGGGTCAAAGATATATTGTAGTTGTGCAGAATTCTAGAACACTCCATTGAATCCTAGACATCACATCTCACAAATTGTATAAAAGCCTTAATGGAAATATAGCATAGATTCACCTGAAAAATACGGCAACTAAAAGTGAATTATAGAAATTGGCTGTACAGACAAGGCTTATGTTGATTAAATGCAGAAGATTAAGGATTGGTATAATTGGGATGATTAAAATAATTAAGGGTTTGGCAGAATATGGATAAGCTATTTCTGCAGCTGAGAGAGTCCAGAACGAGGTGAATAACCTTGAAATTTAAGACAGGCCATTCAATGGTGCTGTTAAAAAGCATTTGGCCACGATCAAAATCTGAAACTCTTTCATAAACAGTGCAGAGGCTAGGGAAGCATAACATTTCAAAGATGAGAATGATAGACTTTTATTGAAACAAGGATAGTAAGGATTGTGGAAACTAGATGGGGAGATGGAGAACAAAGGAACATAAAACATTGCAGCAGGAGTAGGACTTATTAGTGAAAGGCAGCGTGGTTATGTCTCACAAACCTATTTGAGCTTCTTGAGGAAGTGACAAAGATGATTGTGGGGGCAGGGCTGGAGATGTTGTCTACATGAAATTGAGAAAGGCCTTTAACAATGTCCCTCATGGCAGGCTGATACAGAAAGTGCAGTCACATGGGATCTGTGATGAGCTGGTAAATTGGATACAGAACTGGCTTGGTCATAGAAGAGAGAGGGTAGGGTGTTTTTCTGACTGTAGATCTGTGACCAATAGTGTTCCACAGGGAACAGGGACCCCTGTTGTTTTTTATTTATATATATGATCTGGAGGAGAATGTAGGTGGTCTGATTAGCAAGCTTGCAGATTGAGGGAGCTGCAGATAGTGAGGAGGGTTACCAGTGGATACAGCAAGATATCAATAGGCTAGAGACTTGGATGGAGAAATGGCAGATGTAATTTAATCCAGACAAATGCAAAGTGATGCATTTTGGAAGATCTAATGCAGGGTGGGGGGGTACTGAACATACAGGAGATGGCAGAAGCATTAACATACAGAGGGATCTAGGCAAAAAGGTCCACACTTCCCTGAAAGACACAACATGTGGACAAGATGGTCAAGAAAGTGTATGATATACCTGCCTTCATCAGTCAGTACACGGAGTATAAAAATTGGCAAATCATAGCACTCTAGTTAGGCCACATTTGCTATATTGCTTACAGTTCAGGTTGCTACACTACTAGAAGGGCATGGAGGCTTTGGAGAGGGTACAGAAAGGATTTACTAAGATGTTGCCTGGTTTGGCGGGTATTAGCTATGAGGAGAAATTGGACAAACTTGGTTTGTTTTCACTTGAATGTCGGAGGCTGAGAAGCGATCTGATAGAGGCTTACAAAATTATGAGAGCCACGGATAGAATGGATATTCAAAGTCTTTTTTCCTAGGGTAGACCTGTCAATTACTTGAGGAAATAGGTTTAAGGTGAAAGGGGGAAAATTTAAACGAGATGTGAGAGACAAGTTTTTGTTTTACACAGAGGGTGGTAAGTACCCAGAATACACTGCCAGAGGAGGTGGTAGAAACAGATGCAATAGCCATGTTTAAGAGATAGCTTGACAGGCACATAACAGGCAGAGAATAGAGGGATACGGACCACATAGAAGCAAAGGGCTTTTCGTTTAGATAGGTGTCATTTGTCAGCACAAGCTTGATGGACCCAGGGGCCTGTTCCTGTGCTTTACTGTTCTTGGTTCTTTCTCCTTTATTCCTTCATTTAGTGGAAATGTCATCCCAACATCTACCCTAACAAGTCCCCTCAGAATTTTGTATGCTTCAATAAGATCACCCTTCATTTTTCTGAACTCTAATGAATAAATGTCTCACCTGTTTAGCCATTTTTGATAAGTCAACCCTTTATTCATGAATCTCTTTTGAACTGCCTCTGTTGTCAGTATATCCTTTTTTTAAGGGACAAGGCAGGGTAGATGCAGGAAGGATGTTCCTGATGACAGGCATGTCCAGGACCACCATCAAAGCACATGGAGTAAACCAGTTAGGCACTGAGGTGAGAAGAGCTTTCTTCACCCAGACAGTGGTGAGCCTGTGGAATTTGCCAGCACAGAAAGCAGCCGAGACCAAACATTGTATGATTTCGAGGAAGATTTGGGGTTAAAAGGATCAAAAAGTATGGGGGAAAAGTGAACTATTGAATTGGGTGATCAGCCATGAACATAATAAACAATGGAGCATGCTTGAAGCGTCAAATCGCCCACTCCTGCTCCAATTTTCTATGTTCCTATGTATAAATACAGGGCCCAAAACCGTACACAGCACTCCAGGTGCAACCTCAACAACATCTTGTACAGCTATAACTAGACTAACATATTTTTAAACTCTAACCCCCTAGAAATGAAGACCAAAATGCCACTCGCCTTCCTAATTATTTGCAGCACCTGCATGCTAATGTTTGGTCTTTCACAGACAAAAACATCCAGATCCCTCGGTGTAGTACTTTATTGGAGTCTCTCTCCAATTAAATCATAGTCTGCCTTTTGATTCTTCCTACCATAGTGCATGGCCTCATATTTTCCCACATTAAACACTGTCTGAAGTTTTGTCCCTTGTTTGACCTATCTCTATCCCTTGCAAACTTCTTATGTCCTTGTAAAGAGGAAAAGTGTAGATCAGTCATGATCTAATCGAATGAACAGATGTAAGGGATTGAATGCCCTACTCCTTGTTCTTTGTGCTTGTTTCTTCCTTCCTTCCTCCCTTCCTTTAGGAGGTAGTTGGATTCTTCTGTGAGACATGATGGAAAAATGATGGGCACAAAATGTAAGAAAAGCCTGTCTAATTGTCTTGATACATAACATTTTTCTACCTCAAAATGCATTCTGTTGAGGTCGGGTATTACTGGCAAAATATCGCTCTTGAATTATTCAAAAATTTCAATAAAGAATAAAAAAAGCATCATTTACCTTTAGGATTTGTCCCTCACTATCTAAAACGTACATGGTAACATCTACATTCCTGGCCACGCTCTTGCCTCCTTTCTCAAATTCTCCTCTCTCCAGTGTTACGTACAAGTCATTTCTGATATCACCTGGGTAAATGAAACAAAATATGCATTAGGAAATACACTTTATTAAGGAGTTAATTAAAACTTTGAAAAAAAGTGCACTTTTTTTGAACATTGAATGAGTTTTCCTTTATTTTTAACCTTGCACCAGGTGTCTCAGAACCATGCATCAATAGGCAAGAGGCAAGCGGTCAGTCTGTTCCGAGGTTGTGGTTAGATGGGTCTAAATATTTTTGGGATAACTGTGCTTCCAACTTTTTCTTTCCTGGTGCTGGAAATCTTGCATTTAGTTTGACAGTTCATAATGAGGCAGGGATCAGAAACTCATTGGAGGTGGTAAAAACCAAAAATGTCACTCAAGATCAAGATGCCAATGTTAAAGCTGTCCCATTGCAAACATGGGAACTGAGAACACTTTACTTATAAGACCAAAGCATAGCTTTGGTAAAACTTTATGGAAATAAAACAAATTATGAGTCTTGCACCTCCCAGCCCAGTATTGCTTAACAGTTGCAACACGTGCAGGTGACAGGGTAAGAAGTGGGAAGTTGGATATATTGATAGATCTTTGAAAACTGGCGTGGTCTTGGGAGCTGGATTATTTGTGTTATGTATATTGTATTACTTATTTGTTTCATGTTATGTAACTTCGAGCATTAACCTAGGCAACAGCTCCAGAAGCAGCAGGAGTCCTTCATACCCTTATAAAGAGAATGTTCTCTATGTCCCAATCAGCAGGATATTTCATCATCTCGAATCATATAAATTTCCAGTATTTAAACATTTAATTGCACAATGCTGTCTCCATAGCTTTGTATCTCTTTCTGTTTCAACAGTTACCCAATTTTCCCTTAAATAAAGCCGTCCTCTCAATTTCACAATTCCAGGGGTTAAAAGACTGGCATGCTTCAACATGAGAGAGATTTCTCCTAGCCCCTCTCCTCACTATCAGGTCAGGTTAATAGCCCGAGGGGAATGAAATTTCCTTCAGGAAGCACTATTTCATGGCTCACTTAAAAAAACCTATAACTTCTTCAATTACTTCAACATCTGTCTCTATCTTTCTCTGCTCCATTGAAAAGAAGCATCATTTTTCAAGATTTTCTTCATAACCATGGATTCACAATCAGTAGCGAATGGTCTCAAAAGCTTTAACATACTTTATGCAATGGGGTGACCAAACTGCACATAATATTTTAATAGTGGTGTAACCAACATTATTAATAAATTCACAATTACAACTTCACTTTTGTAGTTTTATACTCCCACAAGTAAAACTTCATAGGCCTTGCATTTGAATCCCTGGGTCTCTATTCATCTGAACCCTCAGTTTCTTTTCATTAATTGCACAACATCAGTTACTTACTTCACTTTAATTCCTTGAACAAAAAAAGTGGAATGTTTCTTTGCTATTAGACTAAAAACAAATCAATCAATCTGGAAAGCAGTACTGGATGCATTGTAAAAAAATAATCCCCACTTTGGCTATCACTGTCCTCACTTGACAATTTTCTATTTGGATTCGCATGACTGCAGGAGTGGGGTCCCTGCTGATTTTTCACACTTCCGTGTAGTGCTGAAGTGCTTTGTAGAAGCACTGTTGTTGTTTCCAATGAAATCATTAAGTCAGTACAAAGCTCCATACCTTCCTGCTCTCTATAGGCCATGATGTAGTTTATTTGTTCATTAAGCTTTGAGTGAACTTGCCTTCTGTGAATTTCATTCTCATTGTTATCATGCAAAATTATAAGGATAGCATTATCGAAGGGAGAAGTATTCTCACTGCACTCCCACATGTAAAATATGTCCAAATGGCGTATTCATATAAAACCACCTACACAATTGTTGTGATAATGAGAACTTGCTGCCCTCTACTGGTAGAACTTGTTTTCTCCTTGAGAATGCATGTAAGCATCATCAGTTTTTTTCAGATCAATTTAATTCCAAAATGGGCATAGCATCTAAACGTTAAAAAAAGACTATAGCAGGACATATCTTTTTTACAAGAATTGCTTGCGTTCATTGAAGGAGACCTTCAGCCAGTCAGCAACTACTCTAGTGATGAAGCCATTTGGGAGTACCTCCAAGAAAATCCTCCAGATTGACATCCAATCTGGATCAATTTGGCTCCCAATCAAGAACCACTGCAATCACTGTAACTTTGTGGTGATCCCACTGACTGCAATTCCATACTAATGTGATAATTGGTCTGGTCACAAACGTAACTGATGCTCAATAGCTGAAAGGTCAGATGGAGAAAATGTAATAACAGAAATCTGCCTTCGTGCAAAACAGATTTTGCTTTCTATTTGTTTTCAGAAACATCTAATTGGGGAAGATAATGCATTGTAAGTTTTCACCCATCTTAAATGCTGAATACGCATGATGCAAGTTGGAGCTATTTCTAAATTCCAACCACTGCTGGGTGTTATTCACCTGCTTAGAAGATTTACCCAGAGCCAACCACTTATACAGTATATAGTCAGAGAGTCATACAGCATGGAAACAGACCCTTCAGTCCAACCAGTCCATACTGAACATAATCCCAAACTAAACTAGTCCCACCTTCCTGCTCCTGGTCCATATTCCTCCAAACCTTTGCTATTCATGTACTTTTGAACATTGTAATTGTACCCACATCCATCAATTCCTCAGAAAATTCATTCCACACACGCACCATGCCGTGTAAAGAATTTGCCTCATGTCTTTTCTAAATCTCTCTCCTCTCACTGTAAAAATGTGCCCCCTATTCTTGAAATCCCCCATTCTAGGGAAAAGACAACTACCATTAACTGTACCTAAACCTCTCATAACACTTCCATCAGGTCACCTCTCAACCTCCTACACTCTGATGAAAAAAGTCCCAGCCCATCCAGCCTTTCTTTATTGCTCAAACCTTCCATACCCAACAACATCCCAATAAATCTCTTCCAAACCTCTCCAGCTGGACAATATCCTTCCAATAACTGGCGACCAAATCTGGACACAATTTTCCAGAAGAGGCCTCACCAATGTCCTGTACAACCTCAACATGACTTCCCAACTCCTATACTCAAAGGACTGAGCAATGAAGATAAGCATGTCAAATGCCTTTTTAACCACCCTATCTATATGTGATGTAAACTTCAAAGAAATATGTGCCTGCATCCCTAGGCCCCACTGTTCTACACCCCCAAGGCCCTACCATTAATTGTATAAACCCTATCCTTGTCTGTTGTACCAAAATGCAATATCTCACAATTATCCAGATTGAACTCCATCTACCATTTTTCAGCCCAATGACCCATTTGATCAAGATCCCTTTATAATCTTAGAAAACCTTCTTCACTGTCTACAATGCCACCAATTTTGGTGTTCTCCACAAACTTACTAACCATGCCTTCCATATTGTCATCCAAATCATTTATATAAATGACAAACAAAAGAGGGCCCAGAAATAATCCCTGTGGAACACTGCTGGTCACGGGCCTCCAGTCTAAAAAGGAACCCTCCACCATTACTGTTTCCTGCTGTTAAACCAATTATGTATCCAATTTGCAAGCTCACCCTGAATCCCATGTGAACTAACTTTACTAATTAGCCTACCATGCAAAATCAAATAAACAACATCTACCGCTCTGCCCTCAACAATCTTTTTGATAACTTCCACAAAAAACTCAACCAAGTTGGTGAGACAAGATTTTTCTCACACACAACCATGCTGACTATCCCTAATCAATTTTTGCCTCTCTAAATGTCCATAAATCCTATATTTTATAATCACCTCCAACAAATTACCCACAACCGAAGACAGACTCACAGGTCTATAATTCCCCGGTTTCTCCTTACAAATTTTTTTAACTAAAGGTACAACATTAGCCACTCTTCAGTCATCAGGCACCTCACCTGTAGTTATAGATAATGCAAATATTTCTGCAAGGGGATCTCGTAATATCCCCCCTTACTCCCCACAATGTTCTGGAATACATTAGATCAGGTCCCAGAGATTTATCCACCTTTATATTCTCTAAGACCTCCCGAACTTCCTCTTCTGTAATGTGAACTGTTTTTGAAATATCAAAGTTTATTTCTCTGCATTCTCTAGACTCCATTTCTTTCTCCACAGCAAACACTGATGCAAAATATTCATTTAGTATCTCTCCCATCTCCTGGGGTTCAACACAAAGGCGACCACCTTGATCTTTAAGAGGCCTAAACCTCTCTCTAGTTATCCTCTTGTCCTTAATGTATTTATAGCATCTCTTTGGATTATCCTTAACCTTATCTACCAATGCCATCTCATATCTGCTCCTTGTGTTCCTGATTTCTCTCTTAAGAGTGCCCATAGAGATACCTTCTAAAGAGGTAATCAATCTAATAAATAAAATGGTGGCCACATCTTTGGGGTCAGTGGATGTGGTTGGGGGTGGATGTTGAAGGGACAGGATGGCTGCTGAGTGCAGCTGTAGGCGTGCAACTCATGCAAGAAGTTGAGTGTAAATTCGTGATCTTTAGGCCAGCCTCAAGGGAGTTGCCTCCTCCTGGGTTTGGCTCTCAGTGCATGAACCATCTGCCATTGGAAAGATCCTGGCAAAGATGCAACCAGTACACAAATAAGGAATTAATTATGCAGATTGGCTACCTATCGCTGCCACACTAGAGCTCTGATCATGACCAACCTTTGGGAAAATGACCCAAATGTGAGAACCTATTGGACCACTGACAATGCTTGCATCTCCTGTCCTACCTTCAAGCCCTCCCCACAGAAACATGAAGGTCTATTTTAAACTTCCTCAAAACAAAATGAAACATTTGACTTCCTTTTACCCCTAAATGGATGTGGAAATATTTACACAATCCTGAAAAGATTAAGAACACTGAATACCTCCTCCACTTTTTTAGTCTACTATTCTTACTGCAGGAAGTACTAACCGCAAGACTAGTTTTCTAATCTCCATTTAAAATTAGAAAATGCAAATTTTACTGCAATGTGGTGAGGTGCATAAAGCCTTTCACAACAGTAGCATTATTTAAAAGATGAGGTA